CAACGCTAGAAACCGAGTTTCGATACCCGTGTGGGCAGAACACAGATAGCCCATTGTGTAGCTTTGTGCTTAATTACAAAAAAAAAAAACTTAACCGACACATATGGTTCAGGTGTAGCGGTTCTTATCTTGGAACTTACGACCAATCATAGAGCAACCAATCAGCAGCATCCGCCAACACTTTGGACCGAATAACAAGACTAACTGACACTTTTGTAGTGTGCTCGTAACTGGAAGTGTTTGTTTACTGCTAAACAGAAAGCTACACAATGGGCTATCTGTGTTGTGCCCACCAGGGGTATCGAAACCTGGTTTTTAGCGTTGTAACACGCAGACTTACCGCTGAGCTACTTTGGGGGGAGGGAGACTAGCTGGAAGTGAGTAAAATATTCAATATTATCACGGTACAAAACTCGGTCCTACGATCCGCACAAAATTAAATAAACCCGCGCGCTTTCAGACGGTGAACTTTCCTTCTTCAGGGGTGAACTGTAATTTACGTATTTATTTAAAATTATTTATGAAATTCATATTTCACATAATTGCCGCTTAAGAATTCTGTAATAATTATGTTATTACTGTTATATTTAAGGGCAGTTCAAAGTCATAATTCAATATAGTTAAAATTAATTTTATTATCGTCTACGTTTCCGTGTATTCTGTATACTTATACTCAAATGTTCAGCTTGTATTAAATCATAAAAACGAAAATGCAATTTGGCATAAAGCTTATATCGGTGCCACTTGTTTGTTTGTTTGTTGAGCACAAATCTACACAATGGGCTATTTGTGCTGTATCGAAACCCGGATTTTAACTTTATAAGCCTTTAGAGTTACCGTCGAGTTCGATGCTACTGCTTTAAACTACTCGTGAATGTTTTTAAACTTAATGTGCTTATTTCTTCAAAACTAACCCAACATACACCATGCTTCTGGTTGTGATTGTTTGTTTGTTTTCAATTTCGCGCAAAGCTACACGAGGGCTATCTGTGCTAGCCGTCCCTAATTTAGCAGTGTGAGGCTAGAGGAAGGCAGCTAGTCACCACCACCCACCGCCAGTTCTTGGGCTACTCTGTTATCAACGAATAGTAG